GAGCTTAGTTTCCCGAGCTGAGGCGGGGTCGCACATCCTCCTTGCCCTGATCTTGGCACAGGGAGGTCTTGTGCTTGGTGTTGTTGCACCAATAGCAGCTGCCRTAGCGGCCGCGGACCTTGTACTCCGCCTCGGTCAAGCCAAACTTGACCCATGGAAACTGTCCTGGCTGTCCATTTCCGGCCTGCGATGCGGATTTCGCCTTCCCATTGTTGCGGGACTTGTTGTCGCTTCGCGGCTGGACAACAGCCACATGATCTCCGTCACTTGATGCTGGAGTGGCTGTTGGGTTATCTCCACTGTCCTGCTGGACTACAGCGAAGTGCTGCTATCGCGGACCAGTTCGTGCCTTCTCCACATAGGTCGGCTGCCATGTTGATCTCTCGTGTGCAGCTGATCTGTTGGTCTTGATGATCTCTCTCGCCTTGTCGATAATCTCGACAAAAGTGGAGTACTGCTCGCGATCACCAAGAGCCTGGCTCAATGCAGCACAGGACCTGTTGTAGAACTCACGTCTAAGATCAGTGAAAGGCAGATCCAGATTGGGCACTGCCGCAATCTTCTACCACTCCGTGAGCCAATCGTGTGTTGCAGCGTTGCCTTGTGACATGGTGAACAAACGGTTGATGGCGAGTGTCAGCGCGTCGTCGACGATGAACCGCTTCTTCCACAGCCGTGTCAGTTCCTCCCATGTGATTTCGTTCTTCAAGTCTGGTACGTCGACGCCGTGGGAGGTTGTCAGGTGGCTCAACCAGGTCTGGCATCGGCCCTTTGAGTTCAGGAACAGGGCGCCGTTGTACGCATGCTTGGCTACAGGCAGAATCCTGAGTTGCGTTGAAAATGCTTCCCACCAGAGGACCGGATCCTGCTGCGTGTAGTCGTCGAACCTCTCCAGATTGAAAGTTGGCATCTTGTACATCTTCAGATTGTCGTCCGCGTTCGTCGAATGCAGCTGCTGGACCTCGGTCTTCAATGTATGTAGCTGACTGCTGATGGTGGTGGTCGGCGCAGCGAAAGTGCTGATGTCGCCGTGGTCAACTCGGTCCTCCAGTTGGCGGCTAGAGGGTGCACTGCTGGAAGCCCCCGCAGCTGGTCCTGGTACAGCCTGTTCCTGGTCCAGCAATCGGGCATTGAGTGCCCGAGTTGCATCCTCGTGGCTCTGCACTATGCGGCGGAGCTTTGCCAACTCCTCATGCTGTTGCGTCAGGTCCTGGTACTGTCTCTCCAACTCTGACCGTTGGTAGTTGCAAGCGTACAACAACCTTGTCACGAGTTTGGAGAGGAACTCCTTGTGCTTCTCTTCCGGTGTTGCCTCGTCGCCATTCGATTCAAAGTGCCAGAACCTGAGTTTGTCGATGCTGTTGGCTTCATGCCGCTGCAACAGATCCTGGGCTTCCTTTCGGCGAGCCTGGGCATCTGCGTCTGCGTTGGCCTGTATTCACAGCTGCTCTGCTGCTGCTGCCTCTTCAGCCTGTACGCGGGCAGCCTCGGCTGCCAATTGGCGTTGTTCCTTAGCCTCAATCTGAGCGTGGAACCGCTGCTTGTAGGCGGCAAGGGACTCGTTGGGCAGTTGCCCTGGCAGGCCCGTCATGTTGCTGACGTGGCACTGCTGACGTGGCACTTTGTCTGACGTGGCACTGTGTCTGACGTGGCACTGCTGATGTGGCACTGCTTACGTGGCACTGTCTGACGTGGCACTGCTGATGTGGCACTGCTTACGTGGCACTGTGTCTGACGTGGCACTGCTGATGTGGCACTACTTACGTGGCACTGTGTCTGACGTCACTGCTGACGTGGCACTGAGTCAGACGTGGCACTGCTGATTTGGCACTATGACGTGGCACTGCTGACGTGGCATTGTGACGTGGCACTACTCATCTGGCACTGTGACGTGGCGGTGCTGACGTGGACTGTACCGAACTGGGATGCATGCAAGGGGAGGGTGGGAGGGAAAACGTAGGTAGGTAACCAACCCAACAATACTTTCCTCCGGCCCTTATGAACGAGATCTAGACTAGGTCCCGCAAAGTTTTGGCTTTTACAAACTGCGATCTTGAAAAAAAAAATTTGCGAAATGGAGTAAAGATGCGATTTTCAGAAAAGAACGAACTCCAGTTCTGAGAATATAGCAACCTCCGTATATGCCTAACGCAATATTGGTAGGCTTCGCAAGATTCGGCTTTCAAAAAAAAATTTGCGAGATAGAATGGAAATGCGATTTTCAGAAAAGAATAATTTCAGTTTCCGAGAATATGACCACTTCTATCGTTATCCCAATATGCCTAGAGAACGAAAATGCTAACTTCAGAAATTTCAGCTATGAATGCGAAATATCAGAGAAACGAAATGCTACTATCGGGAATTTTCAGACAAAACGAAATGCGATTTATCACAAATTTTCAGATATTTGTTACGTAAAAACGAACTACTAATATCAAAAAATTTCAGGTAAAACGAAATGCGAATATCCGAAATTTCAGATAGTTGTTGCGAGAAAAACATTTTCAGAGATTTGACTAAGTCCTACTTGCGTTACTAATGAGTGATCACTAGATCAGCAAGCTGGCTACTTGATTGAGCGGGTCCTCTGAACGAGAGGTCCGCTTCAATACCAAACTGTTGCATACCGTAACGTGCAGACCAGAACAAGAACCGACCTCTCAATACAAAGTACAAGATAACACAGCGGAAGACTTAGATATGAATGATCCGAACAATCAATATTGCAATGCAGCCCTGAACACACATCCTCATCATCGTTATCTGGTGTGAAGGGGGTCTGGCGCTTCACACAAGAAGACTGCGCCAACCCCAACCATACACAGACGAAGAAGGAGGGGTTAGACGAAAGAGGAGGCGAAGATGGGAATGTCGTCAACACCAAGTCTCGGTACAGGCCCAAATAGTCCCTCGTCAAAATGTCTGAATCCCAATGTCCAGTCTCGATCCAATGTCGTCAAGTCTCAAGTCACAACTCTTTCTCTCTCTGTCGTAGTCTCGCTACTTGATTGAGCGGGTCCTCTGAATGAAAGGTCCGCTCCGATACCAAACGGTTGCATACTGTAACGTGCAGACCAGAACAAGAACCGACCTTTCAAGACAAAGTATAAGATAGCACAACGGAAGACTTAGATACCAGTGATCCGAACAATCAATGTTGCAATCCAGCCCTGAACATACATCATCATCATCGTTACATAGTGTGAATGGGGCCTGGCGCTTCACACAGGAAGACTGCGCCAGCCCATACCATACACAAACGAAGAGGAAGGGGATAGACGAAGAGGAGGGGGAAGATGGGAATTTCGCCAACACCAAGTCTTCGACATAAGCCCAAATAGTCCCTCGTCGAAATGTCTGAATCCCAAATGTCAAGTCTGGATCCAATGTCGTCAAGTCTCAAGTCACAACTCTGTCTCTCTCTGTCGTAGTCTGAGAAGTCAGGTGGCGAGAGGATGAGAAGAGAAGGTGGACTTAGAAGAGGAAGAAGAAGAACTCTCTCTCTCTCTCTCTCTGTGTCGAGTACTAACCTGTGAAGTTGGCGCCTTGATGCAGGTACCACGAAGATGGAGCTGGAGCGATGGCGCCACAGGTAAGTATCACTAGCCTCTGCCAGTCTCTCTCCCACTCTACGATCTACCACCTACCAGCGCCCAACGCTGAAGACTACAACTACAGCTATGGCGCCCAGCGCCGAAGACTACAGCTAGCGCTAATACCACCTAGCGCTGAAGACTACTGCAGCGCTCCTCCTTAGTGTTGCGGCCGAATTCCTGAAGACTACCTCGTGCCTACTGAACTCCCTACCCGTGAAGTGCATGGGAACTTCCTATGTACTGCCGGGTGTGCCTCCTGAGCCTGCCGAAGGGAGGCAGGGGCTGCAGCTGCAGCTCCTGCTCAAACTCGTGAGGAACAGGCTATTTCTGGCCTGTCCCACATCCCTGTTTACGTGCCTGAGTCTTAGGGGCAGGTCGAAACAATGAGGGCATGAAAATGACCCTCCGTTTCAGGCTGAAAACTCTTGGTCTGAAAAGACCCAAAAATGGGCTGAAACGGGGTAGGGCCTGCAGACCCTCGTTTTTCAGCTTTTAGGCTGAAACGAACGAGGCCTGTAAGCCCTAAGTTTTAGGCTTTTAGGCTGAATGTCCGGGACGGGCCCTGTGGCTACGCAGTATGCCACACTAGCTTACCTTTGAAGACTCTCACGAGAAGGAACCAACCACTATGTATGAAGGTAGGGGGAGTGACACTCATTGTCCTGTGAGAAAATTGTGAGTTATAGGCAGGAAGCGCTGGGTGCACCAAGGGAAAGGCACTTGTACTATATGTGTCCCACTTGGGACTTGTGTTTGCGTGATGGGATTTGAGCGTCTTGCCTTTCGGAAGGAAAGGATGGGTCTTCATCGGCCGGTGCGGGTTGCGAAACGTCGATCTCTTTGAAGTTCGCCGGGTTCCATGTGCGGGGGTCGGGCCACCGTGCTGTCAGGCAAGAGTTGGTCTCACCCGAGCGGTCCGAGCATGGCTCGATGACCTTGCCCAGGCGGGATGTGAAACGTCTTCACAGGCGGGGCGGCTGCTTGTCGACAGACGAGAGGGGGACCACTTCATGTGGGGCAAGGAGGGAGCCTCGGAGACGATTAGTAGTTTCTCGTATCATGGTTCGGGAAAGGCTGATTCTTGTTGGACCGATGGAAGTGAATGCCCGGACGACTGACTATTGCTCCTAACGGGGTGCGCAGGGGTGATTCCCGGTACCAACGAGGGTATGCAAGAACGACAAAACGGGATGGGGTATTTTTGGCAAATGGAGAGGGGTAACACCGTGTGCGAGAGCCTGGGTACCGCGCTCGCGACGGTTGAGCTGCGCTTGAGGTATGGGATAAAACTCTACCGATAGTCGGAATGGAACCAAGAAAAAGAATGTGGGAAAATGGATGGCCGATCGGGGGTACTGTGGGAAGGTGGTACTTAGGAATGGGGAGGTAAACTAGGGAGACCTTGACGAGGGGTCTGAAATAATTATCATCTAGGACAAGGGTTGACCTAACCAGAAGGGACCGTTTGGTACTCTCTTATGAAAACAGAGGTCGGGTGCTGGAAACGAGACGGCGCAGTGGTTGTCTTCCCCAGTCTATACAAGTGGTCCGGAAATGCTAGTAAATGTAAGGGATGGGGTATCGCTCGTCCACCCGAAAGATGGGACGTGGACGGATCTTGAGCCAGCATATCAAACCATGATGCTGGAAGGGGAGGACGCGTTCCTTTGGATAGAGACAATATGGGCTAACGTCAGCTTGACAAGGTTGTCATTGAGTTTAATGGATTTGGAGTTCCGAGGGACTGTGGAAGCCCGGGGGTGGTTGTACTTGTCACAAGACAGGGAGAATGCTATGGTCATAGATTTGGCATTCGGGAATGCGCCGGACGAGCTGTTTAGGAAGGCAGAAGCGGAGGTTGTATGGGCTGCGTGTCAGCGGAGGGAAATGGAAATGGCAAGGGTAGATGTGCAGGTGGAACTTGGGGATAGGGGAAGCGTGAGGCGACCCGTCAAAACCATGCGATGCCTGCTGCCTCCCTTCCTGGTGGATGCGGTCTTCGGAACCCGGAGCAGGCTAGTACGAATATGCTAGTCCATGACGACCCTCGGACTATACCAACGCGCTAGGCAAAACTTCTTTCGGTTGTCAATAGAGATGGGCCCGCTTGAGGGGAAGCGGGCGGAGGAGCTGGCTGAGATGTTAAACTACCTTAGCGTGGACAATGTTTTTGTCCCTAGCTCAGTGCATTGGGGGATAGTCTACAAAAATGTGGCAATAGGGGAGATATTCCTGGAAGGGCTGAGGGACATGTTCTACAACGAAGAGGACGACTTCAGTGATAAAGACAAAGATGATCCGTAGGAAAGCTGAAAATCCAGATCGAGACTCATCATACCGATACGTTAGTAGACGGGGGAGCGGAAATCACTCTCATAAGGAGATATTTTGCAACAATCACGGGTTGTATGGTAAATAAGGAAGTAACAGTGAGCGTCCGGGGAGCCGGTGGGGAAATTCCGTTCGCTGCGTATGCCACGAAATGCGCAGTCAAAGCGGGAATCATGGAGTCAATCTGGTCGTTTCAGCGGATGACCGTAATGGAGGAAATGGATCACGACATAATCCTCGGAAGACCATGGTGCGCAAACGTAGAAATGATAGGCATGCACTTGCACGATGGCACGTACATGGTAGATATAGAGGACCCAGTGACCGGTCGGGGTGAACTCCTCTGACTCCTTGAAACGGGAGGAGACCCTCCAAAAGGGGCAGACAATGAGAAGATAGAACTAGTGAAAAGCACATGCACATAGGGGAGAGCTCACTAAGTATGAACCGGAACATCACAACACACATGAACTTGACAATGAGAAGATAGAACTA